CGTGCGCCAGTCCAAGCAAAGAGCAGACAGTTTCTTAAGGAGAATGCAGTTTCTCAAGGAGAAGACCTTATAGACTACCACGTATAAACTGAATAGAATGGTATGTACCTACTACCACACAAACAATAAAAGACAAGTATGGATTTACTGGGCTTAACAGCTGTTAATTAACACTGTTGAATTTGCAAAACTTCACCCAATTCAGGTGCAATGAACTTGTGTTGTCTGAGCTTTCTACCCCAGGTGCTGCTGCAGGAGAAGGGTTTCCTTCCCACCTTGTTGCATTTTACACCTGTGCTGGAAGCACACCCAAACAATCATAGGACCAGTGGAAGCTGGGTTGACAGTCACATACGGAGAACTTGCTTCATCTGCATTAGGACTGAGATATTTGCTAATGCAGTCAAGATGGCAAAATTTATACAAGATCCAGAAAAAGAGAACATATACTGTGGAACCATGTTACTCCCCTATCATAACCATTTTGTCCTGAGACAAAGGTTACTATTCTTTTCCTGGCAAATTAATGCTAAGTCTCGTTCTTTAGTTATGTAAAGGCTGTGTAACAATTATCTATATTGAAATAATAATCAATGATTAACATCAGATGCAGTCAACATAACTTCACAAATTAGACTTTTGTTTTTCTCGGTAGTATTTCTGAGGTATGAGAGAATGATTCCTTTTAAAATGGGACTGTCTTTCAAACTTACAGTGAAATCACATAAGAAAGTTATGACTGCATATATGAGATCACCAGGAGAACCAGCAAGGTTCTGAAAAGTAAAATATTCCTTCCCTTATGTACTTACAGACTGACCACTCAGCCATCAGCTCTGCTTTTGATGATGTTCTGGTTTCAGTTAGGACAGAGTTAATTTTCCTCCTAGTAGTTGTTTTCAGTTCTGAATTGCTCAGTTTTGAGATGTAAACAAACAAGTTTTTCAAGCAGTTTTCAGCTGTTGCAAAACTCATCTAATTTTCAGGAGTAGTGTTCCCAAATGAATCAGAAATACCATCTTTCCTTTCAGTGTTAATGACATCCTACAAGGTGATAAAATTAGCAGCTGGAAAGTGTAATCCTGCAACCACACTCCTCAATTTGCAATTCACATCCTCCAACTGTCCAGTTCATGCCACTTTCTCAACAAATTTCCAAACTGCTTGCTTATATGCCCAAAGCATATGTTGCTGACAAGCCTTTTATAAGATAAACATTTTCATTATTCTCATGAGAGCTTTATCTCCCAGTAAACTCTTCCTTTTGTCTCCATGATCACCATCCCTTTTTTAGCTTGTTCAGATCACTTTAAGATAATGATTTCCAAAGAATTTTCTCAGCTATGTCTACACTCATACTGGCATGATAACCACAGTCTCATTAAAATTTGCTGATGGTTTGATCTTCTCCAATAAAGGAAGTTGTGCTTTTGACAGTGTGTTTCTCTTCATAATTAGACCACAAATAAAGAAGTACACAACTTCTTGTTTCAAAGTATTTCAAAACTGCTGTGAAAGTGCATATACTTGTTTCACTCTTGAGAATTCCAAATCCTCAGTAAAGAAAACTTCTACTGGAAGTTCTCGAAAAATTAGATGAAAATCTATTCCAAAACTATTTAAGCTCATGACACACTCTAACTCTGCAACAGACAGCAAAGCCCCTTCTACTGCCTTCCCTATGCAAGGGCTGTCATCAGCATTTTAGAAGGCAGGCTGGTATACTTTGAACTGCTTAGAAATTTTTTGCCTGTCTGACTCTTCTCTGCAAATTCCTTGTGAAGAACATTGTCATGTCCTTTCCCTGCAGGAAAATCCCAGACTGAAAGTATATGACTCATTCACACACTGCTGTCCACTTGCCCAAGCTATCTGCCTTGCCATCGGAGCCTGATGCTGCCATCTAAGAACTGCTAGATGAGAATTAGAAGCGAGCTTACAGCAGGCAACTAAGGGAGTCCAAGAGAGCGTTCAAACTGATGCACGCATGTTTTCCTCTAGCTTCCTCAATACACCAATTACACTAAGTTGGGTGACCTCTAAACTGTCACTGATTCACTGTAGTTGGACTTTAACTCTCATCTTGCAGTTTACGCTTCTATATTTACAGTGTTCTTTAATTCATTTCAGCACCAGCATAACACCAGAGCAAAGCTCTGTGCAGCACATCAGTATAAAAACTAGCTCAGGGCCTGGAAAGTGAACAGTTGTGTAGCACAGAATCTACCCATGCTAACTTAGTTACTCCCATAAATCATCCTTTTTAACAGGGCAAGCTGGCACAAAGAGGCTTGTGCACTATATTCCTACAGTAGCAATGTGTACATAGTGTGCACATTACACTCCTCAGAGTACAATGAGTACTTGAGTAGTTCTAAACTTGGATAAGTGAACATGCCACAGCTAGACCCTGCTGAACAGCTGGCTGGGATTCAACAGAACTATCCTTTTTGAGGAGAAATGTCATAGTCTGTATTATTATTTTGAAGGCGCATACTGAATTGTGTCTGTTGAATTCATCCCTTTGGCTTATCTTATCTCAAGTGAAAAGGATAAACAGAGCACGGTGAACTAGAACGTTTCAATTCACAGTTTTTCTGTTTTCTGTTTCCTTTCTTTTTCTTCACAAAGTATTAAATTTTCAATCTAACTAAGTGATGAAGTGGGCTTACAAGAATGCACATGTAAATCTAAATTTCCTAAAGCTTGCATTTATATAGATGCCTTATTTTGGAGAAGGCAATCACAGATGTCCGAGAACATCTGCTTCACTGTACATCCAACCACATCCGGGTCCAACCTGGCCCCAAAGTAAACATATTAATCACCCCTTATTACCAGGGAGAAAAATAAACAAACAGACAAACATTTGATTCCACTGATTCACATCCTGGCCTACTCTTAGCAAATGAGACAGATGATTTTTCTTTTTACACACCAGGAGCCCAATTTGGAACAGGGTGTTAGTGAACAAAAGATAGTGAAAAAAAGTAAATGATGTGATTAATACAAAATATTTTGCCTAATTTACAACAACGAAAAGTGCAGTAAAGGAAATAAGGTGTGCTGTCTGGCCCAGCACAGCACTGGGCTCTTAATGCACATGAGAACTTTATTAAAATAAATCATTTAAAAGAACATAAAGGGATGTGTGTGATTTAGCTGAGGAATGCTGGTTGCAGAAAGCATGCGGTCATTTTAAAAAGTTTGCTCCTCTTACATATTTTATCACTGAAATTATAATAGTCCTTCTAATAGTTTGGCAAGATCTCTTTTTCCTTTCATTCAAAAAGGAAAAGGACATTGTTTCAAATGTCCTTACAGTAAGCCATAGCACATAAATCTCTTTGCAAGGAATAAAGCATTGTAACAGAGAAAAAACAACAAGAACAACAACAACAAGCATTTAGTGTTACATAACATATGTAATAATATGTAATACTACTGGAAAGACATTTGCAAAAATGAATATTAATGGTGTTTATATTCTAAATACAGTTTTAAAGTTGTGAGAAGAGTGATGCACACAAATACTTCAAACATGTTAGTAAGATAAAAAATATTTGATGAATGGGGTAAGATTTCAAATTGGTAGTTTTTGAATGACAGACCTGATAGAAGAACATTACCCCAAGAATGACAGTTCCCTTTTCTATTACTATTTCATATAAACTTTTGATTTTTCATGGAGCTAATGTGATCTTACATGTGATCATGCAGACAGATAGTTATGAGTATCAACACAAACCTGACTAGCACATAATGAATTCACATAGATTGCCATTTTGTTGTGTTCACAGAGCACCTGAGCAATACTGTTCACAACTGTTCAAAGGCTGTGTTACAACCAGCCCACCTTTGTGGTATATATGATGGCAGTATTGCCAACAAAAATAGGGAAAGGGACTCATTGGCAGAGCATCTCATATTTCTAATATTTCTAATATTCACCTTTTTTAATTTTATTTTTTTTTTAAGAATCCCAGTCTCTTTTCTTAAACACAAAACTTGAGCATAGAGCCCCAGTGTTGGACTTCATTTAGGTATGAAAAGCTCATCTTACTGCCAAAAAAAAAAAAAAAAAAAAGAGTCTCCTAGTTTTGTTCAAATTCTTATTATACATAACTTGATAATTAAATACATTTGCTTAGAAGCTGGTAATGCAAATGTGTTTTATGTGTCAACATTTTATGACACTTATTTTGCTTTGGCCTCATTACCTGCTCCTCTGTATTACCATAAGGAAAGAAAACTGATCCAATTGATTTGTTTACAGCATAGCTAAATGACATATGTGCTACATCATTCATTGGCTTTATAGGAAGTAATAAGGTCACAGAAAAAGCCGGAGCAGCCTGATCTCATTTTCCTTTAGGGCTGACTACATTAACACACTTACTGAAGGAGGCGATAGCAGTGATCCAGTCAGTACTTATTGGGACAAAATCAGTAATGATATACAATCCCAGCATTTTTAGAGTAAGGAGCTCCACTTTGAACAGAAGTCCTAGTAATGCTCGGGTTTAACATCTGAGTGAAATCCGTGGATGTAACCCTCCAAAACGGCTTAGTATTAAAAAAGAAATCCCCAAACCTGAACCAGAACCAGCTTTGAATGTTCAGTGTTCATATATTAAGATATTCAAGTTCTCGGTATGGTTCTGAAGGATTGATCATGAGAAAATCTGTTGAGAAAGGTCAAAAAACAACAAACTGGAAACTAGGGATTTTTTTTTTTTTTTAAAGTTCTAATGATGCAGAGACTGCATAATAATCTCCCTGTGAACCATAAACATAATAAAAGCTGAGGCCATTTCTATTATAATCTCTATCAGCAAGATGCCAGCGCTTTTCCAGATTTCCTAACGACTCCCTGCTAATTCCATGCCAAAACTAGCAGTGGATTTCTTCCTTTTAATCTCCCGTAATGCCTTATTCGATTATTGTCGCTGCTCTCCGACCGCGCGCCGTCCCCTCAGACCCTAATTCCCCGCCGGACACCCGGCTGAGGCTGAAGGTCGGCGGCAAAACCGACGGGGTAGGGGCAGCCCCCGCCGCCCCTCGCCCTCCCAGCCCGGGCTACGAGTGCCTGAGGGCCGAGGGGACGGGGCCAAGCCAGGCGGGCTCCCCGACGTCCTCACTCGTTGGCCGAGAGGATGAGCGCCGAAACTTGCTCCAGCTGACGGCTCTGAAGGCACCTGAGCGTCCCCGCGCAGCCCCGAGGCATGGCTTTGCTCATCGTTTGGCTCTGTGTGGTCGTGAGGTGAGCGAGCCCACTCCGACGGCCCCCAGAGCCTTCCCTCAGCCCCTCCACAGCCCACGAGGGTTGCGGCGAGGTGGGACTGAGCCCCTTCTCCCCGTCTGCTTGCTTCTGGGGGCCGCTTCCTCTACGGCCGCGGGCTTGGCGGGAGGGCTGAGGGACCGGCCGGGCTGAGGCGAGGCTGCCGGATTGAGGAGCGGGCGCTGACGGCGGCACTCGCCTCTCCTTGCAGCATGGAGAAGGCTCTGGGGGGCCAGGGCAACGCGGGGGACCTCTACTCGGAAAACATTACTCGGATCCTCGACAAGCTGTTGGACGGCTACGACAACAGGCTCCGGCCGGGATTTGGAGGTACAGGGGGGAAGCTCCCTTCACGTCAGGGAAGCTGCAAAGCCCTGGGGTGATGCGGGCAATGGAGGTCCCTCCGGAGCGGGAGGGGGCAGTGGGGCGCCGAAAACCCCGGGGCTGGCGACCAGCGTCCCTGCGCCGCCAGCCCCCAGCCTGCCCGCCCCCTCCAGAGGGACGGCACGGGCCACCCCCGAGCCCGCTCCTCTCGGTGTCCTACAGGTGCCGTGACAGAAGTCAAAACAGACATCTACGTGACCAGCTTCGGGCCGGTGTCCGACGTGGAGATGGTAAGGGCCCCCAACCGCTGCCCCTGCTCTCCTTTTCCCGGGATTCATTACGGTGGCATCTGAGCTGTCCGTCATTAGAGCAGATTACGAGGTTTAATCTTCTTGACAATCTCCGTGGCCCAGCAGAGCGGTTTGGCTGGAGCTGCATATAGCTATTTCCCCAGCGGAGTCACCTGGCACAGCCCCATGGCCCCAGGCCCGAGGCTGGGCACAGAGGACACCACTGGCCTCCACTGAGGACACGGACAGAAGGTTAAAGATGCCTCTTTAACCTCATTAAGAATGGTGTAAGCATCTGTGGCTTGACAGGGATTTGCAAGAAGGCTGTGTGGTAGGAGACAACCTACTACACAGCTGTAGGGAAGTGGTGCCATTTTTGAGGCAGCAGCTCAGTCATGCTGGGGACCCCAAATTCAGGTAGGTGCAGACTTGGGTGAGCTTCATCAATTACAGCAGCTGCAGCCCTCAGGGAAAGGTTAAGCCACTGTTCTCATCCTGGAAATGTACTTTTATCACTATTTTTGCCTTTTTACCCTTCCTCCAATACCTGCTCACCTCAGACTATATTCCAGCATGCTTGCAAGGAACAGCGCACCCCAAGGTACACCCAAAAGTTTTTCTACCTCTCTTCATCAGTCAGTCTACAAGAAGGCATAGAGACAGTATGCTTTCTTGCATGTCTGCCTCCTGACAAGGTTTAGCTCCATTTCCTAAGCAACTTCTGTAGAGAATTCCCTTCTGAAGGCTTACAACAACATTATTAAGAATCCTTAAGAAAAATAACTCATATTAACTTGACAACATAATCTTACAGTGATGAATGTTTTTCACGTCGGTCCTTTCTTTATGACTATGAAAAGTAAGCTTCAGAAGTGGCACTGTGTACATCTTTTTGTTCCTGGCAGCTAAATATTAATAGTTTGGTTTTGCACTTTGAAAGGACTGTTAAAGTAGACATTTGTATTTCTCATTGGATCTCAGTCTTTTTGAATTAAATTAATTTCTCTGAGAGGACAATGAGACTTTTTTCCTTACATCAAAGTTACCTGTTCACTTGATAATTGCAATTTAATTAATAAGAAAATATGATACATTTCTCACAGACTTTTTTGTTTTGAACTATTTAATAGCAATAGGATTATGTGTCTAAGCAGTAAATTAAAAGACATTAACATATGTGTTATGGTCTTTCATGGAGTTACTTTAAATACAGCAGCTCAGGACTTCTGACCCTCATGCATAATTCACCTATTCATTTTGCATAGGAATACACAATGGATGTCTTCTTTCGTCAGACATGGACTGATGAGAGGTTGAAGTTTGGTGGACCTACTGAAATTTTGAGATTGAACAATCTAATGGTCAGTAAAATCTGGACACCAGACACATTTTTTAGAAATGGAAAAAAATCAATTGCTCATAATATGACAACTCCTAACAAACTTTTCAGAATTATGCAGAATGGAACTATTCTTTACACAATGAGGTAAGAGCTTATTCTCCTGATTTTGATTGACCTTCTTTATCATTCATTCAGTGTTGCTGCATACCATTTATTTTTTACTGTCATCTACTTTAATGTTATCTAGACTAACCATTAATGCTGATTGTCCTATGCGGTTGGTGAACTTCCCAATGGATGGACACGCTTGTCCACTGAAGTTTGGAAGCTGTAAGTTCTATATTTTTCAGTTATGTATAGTAATACATTTAATCTCTATGTATGTGAGATCAGAAGCGAGATCCTAGGACACATCACTGAAACATTTTATTTATTTTTATTTTTTAGACTAGAATCTTACTTTTTCCTCTGAGGCTCAGACCATTGTTAGTCACATGGATTAGTTCACTGAAGAATGACTGTTAAAAGATATTCTGTTGTATATTCTAACGGATCTAGTAGTCAAATTTGGCCCTTTAAGAAGTCATAAAAGCTATGGTTCATTCCTTAAAGTCTAGTTTTACAAAATGAAGATATTTAGACAACCTGTGGTAATCAATGTATGTGTTTTATAACAAATCAAGAAGCACCTATCAATTCCGACCACAACCATTCCCTTATTACTCCTATTTTTTATTTTTGTTGATTTATTTATTTATTGCATTTCATCATTAATGTGATTAGAGACTTATTGGAGCAGGATGCAAGTTTCTTTGGAGTTTTAGACCCAAAAGGGATCATACTACTTGTTTTTTCAATTGCTTATAAATCATGTAATTTATATGAGTAATTTTACCCTAACTCAGATGCTTATCCAAAAAGTGAAATCATTTATACATGGAAAAAAGGACCCCTGCACTCAGTAGAAGTACCACAAGAGTCTTCCAGTCTCCTCCAGTATGACCTCATAGGACAAACTGTATCTAGTGAAACCATTAAATCTAACACAGGTAAGAAGTAGCCATATGGGAACTACTGACATTGTAATTTGTTTTCAAGATGTTTTACAGATTTATTTTTTCCCTATGTAACATGCATTAGTATTACTGCCTTCTGTCATTTTTAAAACTAAAATCCTTGTAAAAAAATAACTGTAGTTAATTTAACTCAATTAGTTAATTTAATTCAATTAACTGTAGTTAATTGAATGAAAGACTCCCATTCAATACATTTCCTTTAAGAATCCCCCCTGCCTCCCTATCCCAGTAAAAACAATACATAAAAATTAATATTCTTTTCCTCTGTTTCCAATAGGTCACTTCACCTTTTGTTAGTCTATTTTTTGTTATACACTAGGAGGCTTATTAGTGCTTTCCTAAGAGCATAGTATTTGGGTTTAAGCCAATACAGTGCCAAAATAATGCTAAAGTACTTGTCTCCTAACAGGTGAATATGTAATCATGACAGTTTATTTCCACTTGCAAAGGAAGATGGGCTACTTCATGATACAGATATATACTCCTTGCATTATGACAGTCATTCTTTCTCAGGTGTCTTTCTGGATTAACAAGGAGTCTGTTCCAGCCAGAACAGTTTTTGGTATGCTGCATTAAGGTCTTTGACCAGTTCTGCATCACATATACCATTCGTTCATCATTTTCATTGCTTGTTTGTTTTAGGTGAATATTCACTTCAGCTGCTCTATTTCCATCTCCAAAGGAAAATAGGCTACTATCTCATTCAGACATACATTCCATGCATCATGACTGTTGTCCTGTCTCAAGTTGTGTTTTGGATCAACAAAGAATCTGTTCCAGCAAGAACTGTGGCTGGTATTCATGTTTTGTTATTTTATCACTCACTTCATTCACTGTGTTGAATCCACTGTATTGAACAGCTAGTCTAAACCAATGGGGATTAACTTCTTAATTGGGAAAGACAGAGAGTAGGTTTCAGCAAACAAAAGAAAATACTAAAAATTAAACCAATTTATTCTGTTGTGAAACCTACCTGTGTTAAAGCATTTTTTAGGAATAAATAAATAAATAAATAAATAAATAAATCACATGGGTTGGAACTCAGCTAGGTACCTAATTCATCTAGCACTCATTCCAGAGTGTTCTCTTTCTATTCCCTACAAAGGTTTCTAAACAACCAGCAAGGATTTTAGATGAATGAAGTTAGGTGAGATGTATCGTCCCTAGCACAAGTTACAGTAATAATGCAGAATGCATGTCCGTATTGCATGGGCCCTTTTTTCTTTTTAGTGGTTTGAATTAATGCTCCCCCAAATGGGAGCTTCATCTCCTTAACTGTGTGCTCAGCTATTATTAAATCTGATTCCCACTCTACTCTGCCACCCCCTTTCAATATCAATAATCTCTGAAACTACACTTATTGTCAAGGGGTAAATTTTGACTGAATTGTTGTTTCAAGGGAAAAAATAATCATAAAAACACCAAGCAGAAATAATAAAACTTGTCAGAAATTTCTCATGAATCCACTATCCATACATACATATTTTGCAACCCTATCTTACTATTTTCTCGTAACCCAATATTTCTGTACAACAAATTCCCTTTGCCAGACTTGTCTTCAACAGCAAATAGGCAGGTATAAATTGCCTAAGCATGAATGATGCAAGTCATATAATTCAAAATAAGCCTACAGGTGTGGTTAGCACGATACAGAATTTGTGGGCTTTGATTTCAGGCATGGAATGGTATTCAAAAAAGCACTGCAAACTTTCAGGAATCATACATGAGCACAGCTTCCTCAGGTGCCTCTGAAGGAATATGAACATACTTTTCTTTTTTTTCTTGAAATACCCATCAGGAGTTGGGATGCAGCTAGGTATCATTAGGCACTTGTATGTAATAGTTTCCAGCAATTCATATTTAACTGCTTAAAATACTAAAATACCAGGCAATAATTTCTCAAAGATGTTTATTGCAATTGAAGCATAAAATATGCATAGGAAGTTTGTATACCATACATTCTGGTTTATTTGGCATGCAATGCTAAATGTATCTGATAAATACTACCTGATTCAACTTTATATTGCATCTCTGGATTTTACATTCTTTACATGTGAGTAAAACGTACTTGCTATCTAGTGGGAAGCTGAAGTCAATTCTATACACTTGAAGCAATGTCCAAATAAGTCTGAAGATGATTCAGCAACAATTACATAAAGATCCCAAACCTTGAAATAATGACTTAGTCATATTGAAGAGAAAATATAGAATAAGGAATAGAAAATATTTTAAGAAAATAGTAAAATAGACACCTTTCTCAGTATTTTTGAAAAATTGTCATGGTGGCATTTTAAAAGAATATTTCAATCCATTCTTATTTCTCCCAGGAACAATATGAATTTATAATCCTTTCTAATTCAAAATCCCATGGATTCTAAATACCATCATCTAAGGAAAAAATTGATATTTTCTTGACTGTTAGGCACCAGCAACAAAGAAAAGGTTTAAAATGGAGAAGTAAGCATCCTTTCTGCATCATATTGCAAATACTTGAATCATAAAGATGTTTCAGTTTTGCTCCTATGTTTTAAGCCTTTAAGTGTGAGAATAATAGAGTTTTATATTTTTATAAAGCATGGCATTCTCAAAAGTTTGAGAGAAGATAAATTAATGGTAGAAAAGTAAGTGTGCACTAACTAATTTTTCAGAATAAATTCACCTTACTCTATTTACCTGCAAAGTGGATGCTAGTTATCTTTTGCAGGTAACATTACAATAAAATAAATTAATGTTAATAAACATCTGCTGTTTACAGACCTACAGGCGAAATATAGGAGACAGAAATACTTGAAGAGACAAGACATTCTTGTGCTCTTTGTAACTATGCCATTGTAAAGAACAGCAGATTGGCAATAAGAAATTCCTTATCTTACATGGAGCTTCTGTATGTAGGTGTGTGTATATGCATACATATTTTTTTTTTTTTAGCATTTCATTATCAGAAATTACTTGGAATAAGAAACATGTTTATTAAAGCCAAGTTTTAAGTGTGCCCTACTAAGTATCAAATGCTTTGAACCCATATAACAATGGCTACTACTTTGCATTTTTGTGTCTTTATCTAATTTTTTTTAGTCCTGGCAAAGAGTTATCTGCTGTTTTGCAGAGACACACAGCTGGCTTTTACTGTTCTAGCAGATTACTCTGGAAATTTAAACTTATTATCTAGTCATTAAACTTTATTTATGAAGTGTCAGAGATGGATTTTGTATTTAAAAAAAAAGATAACATATTTCAGTATTTGCAATATGTAACAAATTTTTCAAAAATTACCAAGAAGTCTTCAAAGTGGAAAGACAATCATCAGTTACACACTTTACCAACTGTAATTTGGCATTCTGTTTGATAAAGTAGTTTTCCCCAGTGCAGAGCATTTCATCAACTCCACATTGAGAGTGTTCTTATCTATATCTGTAATAGAATAGGAGTCCTACTCCTAAGTTTAAATTCCTTCTGCAGTAAGTTTTTATACAGACACAGAATGCATCTTTCTTTATTACTAACTAGCACATGGGCAGATTCTAATCTAATCACATATCATATTGAAAAGTTAATTCTGGACATTTGAAATTGAAATTTATATCAGTATTCTTGTACTTATATTATTAAATGGGTCTGACAGATTTGGGAGAAGTAGAGATCCTACATATTTTTATACTATCTTCTATTTGCATTTCATTAAAACATGTTAAGTAATGACATTGGGACTTATTTAGCCTCAGACAGCTGGCAAGCTACATCATGTGAGAGAGCTGCAAAAAAATCCTGAAAATAATCAAGTCACCCTGTCTTGATGATGCAGGATGCAATGACACTGCATCCTTTCTACTGAGCATCATTCACAGCATATTGATTCATCATCACAGCATGACATTATAACATCCTTTATTTTTCCCACCTCCCCTTTCCCAACTGCAGAAAAGAGCAGAAGAGGGTATTCTCCAGCTTACTCTCTTTAAATACCTGCAATTTTCAGATTCCAGCAGGCATAATTACAAGCAAACATGAGTCACAGAACCTTATATGTTAATGGATAAGTTTGCTCTTGTACTTTTTGCTTGTCAGGCAGCAGTGGGAAGTGTATTTCCCACATTATTAATGATTTACATTACAAAAGAGAAATCATAAGGTCACAATAGACCTTAAAATTACTTTGTGGCCCATAAGCTATGTGACCAGATTTTTTGTGTATGAAAACACAAAAGGATCTCTAGAGAAGCACCTTTTCCATCCTTCCATATTTGTTACTATGGGAACTTTCAAATCAATATACTGTCAGTGAATCTTTAAAAATGTATTCAGAGATTAAAGATCACTGTATAGATGACCAAACTCTTATTACTAGAAATATTTGGATCATAGCTTACCACTGACTTCAATGCAAAATTCTGATGAATCCAGTGAGGGTTCTGGAAGCCATGTCTTGTCCAACAATAGGAGAAATAGCGGATCATAACACTTAGGAAATCATGGTAAACTAATTTAGATTTTTTGCCAAGTATTCCACTTAGCAACCTCTCAAATAAAGTGTCTTTCAGAGCCTGATCTTGATTTTTGTTATACCCATGTCTTACCACAATTCTATGAAGCTGTACCCTGTAGCACGAGGTTATCTTAATTTTGAATCTGCTTGGTCTATTAAGGAAGTTTATTCAGAACTTTTAGATACTCAAGCCACTATACGTGAATTACTTATGATAACAAAATACTTAGAATTCCTGTTAGTTAGTTGACAGCTAAAACCTCTTTGGTTTTATATTTTATGTATTTTGTATTTAAACAGATACGCACGCATATATATATATACACATATGTATATATATAGAGGCATTTACATCTACATCTAGAATTTAGCAAAATTCTAATGCCCCCTTTTTCTTTCTCTTATTTTCAAGGAATAACTACAGTTCTAACAATGACCACTTTAAGCATCAGTGCACGCCATTCTTTGCCCAAGGTGTCCTATGCTACTGCCATGGATTGGTTCATAGCTGTGTGCTTTGCATTCGTCTTCTCTGCACTTATTGAGTTTGCAGCTGTCAACTACTTTACCAATCTTCAGACTCAGAGAGCAATGAGGAAGGCAGCAAGGGCAGCAGCACTGGCAGCAGCACTATCAGCAGCAACTGTACCGGCAGAGGACGAGATTGTCTCGGTAACTGCTTGCTTTTCTGATAATAAGTATCATATAGGAAGAGCAGCTGAGTAGTGAATGTGAAACAATATTAAAGTGATCTTAACCTGAAACAGGTTATGCATTTGAAACATATCTATTTATCAAGACATTGCTCTTATTGCAGAAAATGAAAGATGTCATTTATTCATAATGTTTATTTTGATTTGTTACATAAGTTACTACAGAGATGTTTATTTGATAAGATATTTAAGGTAATACATTAGATGGTTACCCATAATACTTTATTATGCTGGATGCTGGAGGCATTGTGTTCAGGCAGCTGTGTTGTTCTCTGAGTGAGTCTGTAGAATTTGTAAGACAATGTACAGTACAACGAACATGTGCATTGGCCAGATGATTATGGGATCACTGTAGCATACTGGCACATACCATAAGTGGGTCATCTGGAAGAAGAGGAATTAGCCTTTACATAAACTTGGCATCTGTTACTTTCATAAGTCTGCTTTGGTGGAAGCTTGGGGAAAATAAAAAGCATAAACATAAAGATTTATGTAAGGATAGGTTTCACTCCATGTGACAAAAAAGAAGGCTGTCTAATACCAAAAATCTTATGTTGGAATTGCTTGTAAATATTGTTCCTTACATCTTGGGCTAAGTAATTAATGTTGTTTCACAACATATGTTAATATATTTATCAGCATTGCGCTCCCGTTTTCAGAATCAGTTTTACTATCACCACATTTCCCATTCTGAGAGGAATAACAGCATTTGAACAACCTGCAAAACCATTGAGTCTGTAGTTGAATAGGAAAGTCAACTTAAAAGCTACTGAACAATAGGGCAACACCTTACCCATCATATGGTCATTTTTTTTCATTTTTGCTTGTAAATAACAGCTAAACTTGTAACATTTTGGTACATGCAAACTGTTATAATTAATAAGTTCCATATAATACTGCATCCAAAGCTACAAAGATTCTTGCTAGTAGTCCTTATAGGAGCTCATCAGCTAATCTTCCTCAGTTTGACTGGGAAGCATTGGGCTTGTAAAATATATTGCATTTTACTTTTTTTTTTTTTTATATTGAAAAAAGTATTCAAAAAAACTGTCAGACATAGTAAGAAAGCAAACATGCATTTTATTTCACTAAACATGTTAATGATAGAAGAATTAAATCTTTATAAATTTTAACTCAAAACCACAGATTATTTCTTTTAAATCCCGGTTGTATAAAGAAAACGCAAATGAGAGATCCAAAAAACTTTCATGATTATATTTAAACCTTACAAGAAACAATGAGAGAAAGAGAATGCTAGTATTTGCTAGTATTTAGAACATGCTTTCCCGCCCCCCAAATATCATATTTGAGAAGTACTTTGGACTGAGTGAGCAGAATTCTGTAACAGTATAATAATGCAAAATGAGAAGAATAATGTTAAGACTGAAGAAAGTTTAAAATGTACTAAAGCTGCAGTTTTACTCTGTTTGACTTTTTTTTTTTGAGGACAAGCTATCAGAAAAGTGCCTAGAGAGATCACTTAGCCTTTTGTAGCATGAGGAAAATACTGCTGGAACAATCTATGCTCTACACACTTTCTTGTTCAAGTTTGAGTTAATCATAGTGAGGTTTCCAAGAAGGGGAAAAAAAAATCATATATTGATGTCCGTGATGAGTGATATGAAAACTTGATTTGGGCTACTCTGCACATGCTACTGGTGGTGAATTCAGAGCAGACACTAGAAATCCTTCCCCAGGTCCCCAGAATCTCTAGAGGACATCTATTTCAAAATACATATGGCTCTCTACATATGCCCAGATATATCAGAGTATTGGAGTATTATTTTATTAGAGTTATTGGAACATACATATTGGTATTGGTATAACATTCGTATTATTGGAATATACAGGAGTATTCCTGATGACTGTAGCTGCTTCACTACTGGAGGGTGAGATTTGGGTGTTCTCTATATCACTGAAGACCAAGCTAATCAGAAATTTAAAAATTACTATTGAAACAGATAATAAAAGGAAAAAACAAACAAACAAACAAAAAAACCCACACATTTAGACCTCAAGTTTCCTTATCAAGGGCCTCATCCACAAACAAGCACAGAACCAAATTCAAGACACAGTTTAGTTTTTCCAAACAAAAATCAAGCATTAAAAACATCCGGTAAGTGTAAAAGGATGTGTAAAAACATCTCTAAAACCATTTCCTCAATATATATATATATATACACACACACACATATATACAACTAGTTAATAACATAGAAATTTAGAAAATAAGTAAAGACACATCAAAGTCCTAAGGTAAACTCAGTCTCTAAAGCAGTCTATAGCATTCAAAAAATGCTATAATCCTACTCTTCCTCAGAGCTCTTGTTATCTAAAATAGTAATTTTCAAGCCTGTAAGTCCATCATGTTTTCCTCGATGGAACAGTTCTTTCCGAGAACCCCACACTTCAGTAAAAGAAAAATCAGTGAGATCACAAAAATGGTGGGTACCTACCACCGAAGGAAAGAAGATACAGTCAAAATAGCTTCTGGAGGAATGTAGTTAGCTAACCCTACTGGATATCAAAGGTCCCATTCCACAAAGGCATCCTGGGAAAAAGGACTAATTACAAAATAACAAGCTTCAAAAGGCTTTTTTGTTTATTTGTTTCCTTTTCTTTCTTTCTTTTTATTTTTTTCTTGTGGCAGAAGCATGGGGGGAAAACTTCATGTTGTCATATAGATGGATATATGATGCAGTCAGTAATATAATTTCAGCTGAAACAAGTTTGAACTAGATCACTTCAGTGCTAACAATGTAGTTAGTACAGGCTGATCTGAGTATGACTATTTCCTCAGCATTACCATCCTCTACTGAATTCTGTGCTTCTATAGTTACATTACTGATCTTAGAGTTGTTTAAGTATGGCACAAAACATAGTTTTCATTTTTTTTCTTACTGTAGATTTAGGAGCTGTTTCTGAGGTCCTGAATTCTTCCTTGTCGTTCCCTTCTGCTTGCTCCCCCAAATCTTCACCTCTAAATTCTTTTACCACTTTTCCTTCTACAAGGTCCAATTCTTATTCTTTACTCTTTAGATAATTTGTCTTACTACTTTGTCTTACTTCTTCTGCTCCTCTTTTTGACTCTTACCTTTCTGCCTTCTTCTAATTCACTAGAAAAAAAATCTATTTTGAATCTGTCATATATATTTAAAATGATTTTAACTAATTGTCTGTTCCATGTGATGTATATGTGTTAAAATCTTTTCCTTCTCTCCTGCTTTGGTACTTTGTTTTTCCTAATCTGTGGTGTACTTATTTATTTGCCCTGTTAGATAGGGTAGTAAAGTGTTTCATCCCCTTGTAATGTTAGTATTTTTATTTGCCTGTAATTTTTAAATGTGTGGAAGTTGTCAGAATTTTAGTTATACAGAGGGGTAGATACAGGATGAAGAATAATGCACAATGTTTATTGTCTTCTGTATTTATAGAAGTCAGTATTTTTACACTGAGAAATTTTCAAAGAATTTAAAGGTTTAATTAGCTTTGGGGAGTCCAAATGTAAACATAAAAGTGAAAAAGTGAGATGTTCTTACTGCAAAACTGTCATAGCTGTACAACTGCCTATGCAGCTCTTTAACCTACAGCAGCAGTAGAATTAACAAGTAGACTGTATATTTTTTACATTATATTATCTTAAATTGCCTGATGAATTTTGCCTGAAAGAACATTGTGGTGAGAATATCCTTGCCCTGTATGAACTAGTACTTTTTGTATGACAGGAGACCCGTTCTACTGTGTTAGGTGACAAGCCCCTGGAGATAGCTTCAATACAAATGAAAATAAGGAGCTATAAAAGTCAGGTAGAAGCTTTTTCTGCTTTCACTGAGGACCTGAACTCATGAAGACAAAAGTATTTATGGAATTCCCTCCCCTCCCCTCCCCTCCCCTCTCCTCCCCTTTTAAATTAACTATATTTCCTGCAAAACAGTATTTATTTTTAAAAAGACTCCTTCCCAATTGAGTCTAGTTAACTTTTTTCAAAATTGTGCTTTATTCAAATGAACAACACTTTTTCTCTCAGGTTTTTATTATATCTCCCCCAAAACAATACATTCGGAAAAGAAAAATGGCATAAAACCACATTCTTCTCTATTATATTAATGAAAATATGAGAAACTCTGTTGAAGTTACTGGAATTCACTAGATTCACTAAGAGATGCAATGGTCCGAGTATGTGCTCTGTTTACTGATGACAGCCCAGCATGCCTGTTTTGGTTCCAGGCAAGCAACTCTATTTACCTCAGTTAACTGAAGGCAAAGTTTGGCTTGCTCTCTTTGTCAGCTGTAGGCAATCCCTGTATGAAATACAAAACTATGGGTGTTCCACTCCAAAACATGATGGCAACAAGCTGGGCAGTCATCTGGACCCTGACAGAAGCCTGTTTTTATTCATATGGTGACCAAGCTTATTATAGCATGTCAAAAACAAACACCTAGTGTATGTTTGTGTATGTGTATATATATATACACACACACGTATATATGTAAATATATAGTTCATTGTGGCAGTTAGCATTTTAATCCATTTCAAATGTATTGTTCTTATATCAATCATATTGTTTCATCATTATGGCTTTTTTACCCCATTTCTAGAAGTTGTGGGGGAAGAGGCGTTGCTGAAACTGTTTGGAGTGCATCATTTTAAGTAATGCTCTACAAGATGGTCAGGGAGCACCCAGCAGAGGACAGGGAGTACACACTATGAATGAAAAGAAACCCTTTACATGTGGAAGACTACATGTAACAGACAAAAGATTATTATACGGCGGTTGGTTGATTACATTTGTTTTCTTAAAGACCTGTTATTTTAACAGAAAGCAACACAGAACAGTGAAATACTGCTGGGGGAGCTTCCCTGTCCCAACAAAGTGCTCTGTACCTGTTTTCAAAATAACATGACTTGAGCAAAAGAGGATTCTCATTCTTTTTAACAACCCTGCCCAACTGCAGAGC